ACATAAGTCAAGATACATAATTTTACTTAATCTATGGTGTGCAGCACATAGTTTATTACATTAAAGTCTCACTAGCCAGAGAAAAATCTGGAATGCTTAACTGAAAACTGTGCAAAGAAACTGAAACTAAAGTGTAAGGATTTCTACTAATCATCTGCAAATTTTATTTGGAACTTGATCCTGCAGCCCTTATTCACAAGATCAGACCTATTGAGTTTATTCACATGAGCTTCGGCTGCAAGATTGGACCTTAAGTACTATCAGGTGCACGTGCAGCCTATCATCAGATTTTGGGTTATTCATGTAAGAAGCTATCTTTTCAAATGCAGACTACTTAATGCTTCCTTCTTCATTAACTTACATGTCCTCTTCTGCTGCTCTATGCTTTCATTTGTGCTATGTAAATAGCTTCTTTCTCTCAGTCATCCAAACTAATAATGCTCTTTGCAACCAAGGAGGAAATTAGTAGCAGGTGAACGCTTAGTTTTTAAATTATGTCGAGACCAAGCTGTTCTTTAACTTAAACAAGATCTGGAACAAAAAAAATCCCATTTTACTACTTAGCAATCTTAATTATGGGTTGTCATAATTCTAGATATTTATTTCCCCCATCTCCCTTCACTCCCCCCAAAATATTAACCTTGGTGGTTAATCTACTTTCTTATAAGCTGGACCCAACATTGTGCACATACTTTAAGGCAGTTTATTTAGTTGGACAAAACTTGTTTGAGGACATAAAATGAACTCTATCTTATAATAAATGAAACATGTATGGAATTTCCAACTTAGGTGTTCTATTTCTTTGCTTTCTGTACCTATCCTACATAAGTATAAGGTATTTCTTGTGCTATGGTGTGGTAAGCGTAAAAAATAACCACAGCTGTTCTGCTATCTGCTTATATGCTTCTGCAGGTCAGACAGCCTGCAATGACAAGGGATGGCATACACTAGTCCTTGAATAGGACCACTGTAGAGGCATTTATATCACAGTCTACATTATCATCTACATATTTATGAATCTTATTTGACTTAGGTAAAGTCATAAGTAGTCAATCAAGCTGTTAGTATAGGTAAATGATGGCACTCACAAATATAGGTGATGGCACTCACAAAAACAACTTCAAATACCAAATGGCCTCCAAGCAATCACCAAATCATTATTACTCAGTGCTAGAGCTGTAAGAGGCAAAGAGAAGGCCAGACAGTAACTGATGCTAGGGATATTCTGGTTACTGTACAACTGTAGAAGGAGAATGTGAATATTTTTCACATGAAATCTCATTATCAACACAACCCATATGACTGGCAAAATGCAAGGTAAAATCCCAGCAACAGATTTTAGTTGTACTTTCTTTATAATTTCCAGCTAATTTCAAAGTCATGATGAACCAGGGGCTGAAGCTGACTGTTGGCAATTTCAGTAGTGATTAATATCAACTGAAAGTGCAGCGCAAACAATAAACACAGACATCTATTTAAAATGCATGGAGATGTACACAATCTGAGTCTAATCTGAAGTTTAACCTAGAATCCATGTCTCCATAATTCCTAGCCAGAAAAAAAAAAATAAATAAAAATTCAACCTTGTACTGAATGGTACGTCTGCAACGACTGTTGTCACAAAATTGTTCTCAATCGTACTTCAAACTTGCCACATGGATTAATCAGCAGTTAGAAGCAGCTGCAACACCATGTTCTGTGCACTGCTGTCGCCATTTTAATTTTTTAAAAGCAAATGGAGAGGCTCTCCACAAAATTCAATGCCGTAAAAGCAATGACTGAACCAGAATCACAAAATTATGAACAGTTCACTAAATTGTCTATTAGGAGCACGTATCAAGAGGCTGCAGAACAAATTGTGTGCCTGAAATAACAGATCGATGAATGAAGAATAAAGAGATATAAGAAGTGGAGACGTTGACAAACCATTGTAATTTGTGAAGAATCAATCTCCATACAGCCAGAATAATGGCAGAACATCACAGATAGTGCATTCATGACTTTTAACAGCAAAAAATTACTGAGCAGAAATTTATTAATGATCTGAAAAAGAGAGAACAATTCTGTGACATTAGGCCAGGAAGTACATCCACTGCTTAAAATCAGTAAAAACCAATAAAAGGAGCCCAAAATATATACATACAATAAAGGGGAAAAAAAAAAGCCGCCTTCAGCAGGATGGGTATATCTTTTAAACATTAGAAAACCAGCACAAAATGACTGAACAACAGAAACACTGAGCACCTAAATCACTTTTGTCTGATGACCCAAGTCTAGCTACCTCATTATCTCACTGTATGTCCAACTACATAAATGTTCAGCCACAAATAAATATTAGGGAACTCCTAAAGCCAAAGGATGATGTTTCAGAGCAAAGGCTGAAGGCCAGATTTTACTATATTGCCTTACGAATTCTATGAGCTGCTGCTTCTTAAGCTACCACATTTGCTAAACATGTTACACTGGACTACAAAATGGCAAATCAGAGGGTAATATACTGCTTCCGTACTTTTCAACATCTACATCAGTGATCCACCAATCTATGGCACAAAAGAAGGTTCTATGTATGTGAACAAATGCCAAGGGTCTTGCTGGCCAACATCCCCTGCATTCTCACATAAATATATAAGCACTCCCAGCACCAAAAACAATGGAGCATTTATAAATTTGTGGCATATTGGAGGAATTGTGTAGTATAAAGTATCTAGCAGACAACAGAGTAAAACACGTCAGTTTCTTTTTTCTGCAAAAATACAAACCAAATAAACAACTTAGAACAATTCACTCTGTCAGATTCCTGACCTCAAACTTTTCTGCCTTTTACATACCAATATAAACAGTGTGCATTTTTAAAGATCACTTAAACCTGAACATGGAGAATCGCTATAATTAAGGCAAAATGCACAAGAAAGAGTACAGATGTAAGGCACCCACTCCATGAACACACCCACCTCCTTGTTAACCAAAAATCACAGAAAGTCATTCATATCATTATAAGTTGAAGCTGTGGCACTAGCTATTCGGATGTTCAGAATAAGGAATTTGATGATGTTGCCAAACATGTACAAGGAGGTGCGGTAACACAAGAATCTACATGAAGATATACTATTCTTTGTAGTTCTGCCTCATCCAATTCGTTTATCTGGAAAATGGGGATATTTGAATAGTACATGCACATACAAGGGTCTGCATACACAGACCCTGGAATAAGTGCTAATCTGTTTTCTGTTGAGAAAAGCTTGTATCAAGTAACTTAGACAATGCAAAGATAGGGCAATAGCACATTTTTTTGAAAAAATACAGTTGAGATGAAAGTATGTGAGAAGCACCATTGCTTCCTCCCTGCCACAGTTCTTGCAGGAATGAGAAGGAAGAGATAAAAATGAAAGTTCTTCACTCTCTGGTAAAAAAGATCTGGCAGGACAAAGCAGCGCTGAACAGCCTGGTAGCTCCAGCATAGCAGAGAGCCCTGCATGAAACAGAAGGGCTGAGCGAGGACACAGCACCAGAGCACTGCTCAGCAGAGGTTAAGGACTGACGGCGTACTATTTGTGTTGATCCAGATGGGCAGAGACATCTACTGTGCACTCCCTTCTGGACCCTGCATGTTCTGTGCCTGCAGAAGCTCCCACAGCCTATCTTGCTACTGAAGAAGTAATTAGATACTTCTTCAGCTTAACAAAGGCATTCTTGGCAGCATGAGAAACTATATGAAATCATTTTGTGATAAATTTACTATGTACTTATTTATCCATTCAAGAAAAACTCAACCAAGATGCTTTACACTGTTTACTTTGCAATAGTGTAGGACTGGCTGTCATTTCAGGCCCTGTAGTTTTCTTTTTACTTTTCAGTACACAATTAGATTGGCTGGGAGTCACAAGAAGCTGGGAGGGGCACAGCCGTGACAGCTGACCCCAAATGACTCAATGCGTATTCCATGCCATATAGTGTCATGCGCAGCAATAAAAGCTGGGGAAAGAAGGATGAAAGGGAGATATATGCAGATATCTTCCAAACTGGACTGGCTGAAGCAAGTCCAGAGGAGTCCACAGAGATGCTGAGAGGACTGGAGCAGCTCTGCTCTGGAGACAGGCTGAGAAAGCTGGGCTGGTTCAGCCTGGAGAAGAGAAGGCTCTGGGAGAACCTAGAGCAGCTTCCAGTGCCTAAAGGGGCTACAAGAAATCTGGAAAGAATTCTTTCTAATAGAAAGACTATTTTGTGCACAGAATTGTGCATCTCCTTTCTCCAAAAGCCATTCTAACTTCAGCAGCATTACTACCTAGAGAATGTTCTTTCTGTGGGGTAGGGGAGGTTGTGACAGTGCAAGGAACAGCACTGCTCTGCATTCATCACACACTGCTCTGCATTCACTGAGATCAGCTGCCCTTCTCCTCAAGTCAATGTTCTCACTCCTGAAGTATTACAGAAAACATGGCACTGAAATGAAAGTCATTTTAACATAGAAACTAAGATCCATTGCTTTTATAGCTACTACATCCACAGCATCCCTACAAAAAGCCTAAGAAGTACCAGTTGCATCCAAAATGTAATACACCAACAAATATTTAATAAATTATTCCTCAGATCTCTAGTTAATTAACCTAGGTGGTCCTGGTATCACCCGGTTACACGAGAAAACTATTCAATGCATCTATCTTCAGCTATAAGGTAAAATGCCAGTTTTGTATCCAGTGCTTCACTGTGAGAACAAAATACTGCATTGTATAATATTCTCCAATTTGCGTACTCTAGATGACATTCTATTTTGAACATACATTAAAGTCAAATTGTAGTCTAAATCATATCTTAAGCTATACAGCAAATAATGGAAATTACTGTTAGAGCATTTAAATCCTGAAATACCTTTTGTTAAATGACTGCAGCCTTGCTAAATCTTTATTGACATACATGAAAGTATCACTTCTACAGAGAAATGCTACAAAACCCACAGAACTCCAATATATATTTGCATGCATACACACACACTATTTATATACCTCTCCAAGAGCTTCATAGCGCTTTTGGTTCCATCTATGTAAATCTTCTCGATAATTAAAGACAAATGGCTCCCCAGTTTTTATGTGTCTTAACTGCCCTTCTGGAAAAGAAACAAAATCATTACATTTCAGTAACTTCTTCATTAGAAGTAAGACACATTTAAAAGAAGTCTACATATAAAAATTGGGCTATTATGAATTCATTCTCATTTATGGTTACAGTATTTCTGAAGGAAAACAACTGTAGCATAACTACAAAATGCATTCCCCTTGAATGGTGTATATTGCTAAATAAAGCTAAACATAAGTGATGACAGTAAAATTACACGTGGATACCAAAATGCTCTGCAAGAAATATTTATGTGTCAACTGCTATAGATTAACAGTGAAATGTAAACATTAGTAGTTAATACTTGATTTGTGGTGTCAATTAGGTGATCAAATTGTAGCTATAAATCTCCCACTTCAAAACCAACTGAATTTATAAGGAAACGTGAGTACAAAATGGGCTGGAGGCTGGAAGGAAGGCAACATTTTTTTTCAAGATTAACAACATTTTAAATTAATCTGAAAAAGCACATGCACAGTTAGCATAAGTATCTTAACTCCTAGACACAGTGCAATCAAGTAAGAGCTCTTACATCCAGGGTACACCAAAATTGCAACACTAGAATAAAGCAGAATGCTTGCTCAGAGCAAACCCACATGCTACTCTGAGATTCCAGTGTAACTTTCTGTAGTTGGACTTGTTTATAGTGAAAGTTTAGTATCATACCGAGCCACAGATATGACATGGGCCGAGTTAAAATAACAGCAATAATAAAATGGCAACCAATAGGATGTAATTTCAGTAAAATAGGTACCTTACCAGTAATGTTTCAGCTCATTAGACAAAACACAAGTTATGATCTCAAAGCATCACAAATCAATGTAAATCAAAGAAACATTAAAAGCAGGGAGGGATATGTATGAGTATCCCCTTTGAAAGCTGAAAAGTCTGCAAGATGAAAATTAGGTTTCTTAGCAAAATGTTTCTTCTTGAATAGTAAGAAATTACTAACTTAGTTCACACCTTTTCAGGATCTTTAGGATTTGATTCCTGATGTTTTAAATAAAGTATTTAAGATCTGACATCTGTAATAGTTTGCTTATCTCCTTATTTGATATTTTTTCCAGACTTGTCCTACCTCACGTACTAGACACCAGGGAAACATCTCTCCCAAATTTTGTATCCCTGTCTCAGGTTCAAATATCCTTCTCATATTTTCATCATAACTTTATCTTCAGCTGTTCCTTCTCAGCTACTTACTCTTCAAGTATGCCATTCATTAGTACATGAAGTAGCTCTCTCCACAAGTAAAGTGGAGCAAACACCCACTAAATTTTTTTCTTTGGCTTTCAGGAACCCTTGTCTTCTACAGATTCTTTAAATCTGATAAAAATCTTCCTTACTTTTCCATCATAAAAAAAAAGCAAGTTTATGGCATGGTTACAGGACCAAACACTTTAATTAAATGTACAAAAGCAAAACAGAGATCTTTTTGCTTTGCTGCCCAGCAGCATGTGTTCTGCTGCATTCTATGGAAATCACTCAGTCTGTGAGGATGGTGATGGAATATTCAATAATATCATTCTAAAACACTGTTCCCCAAAATTAAAATTTCAGCCCTTTTTATCAGCCACATATGAGCCATTAATTCTGAAGTCAGTAAAGAAGACAGTAGACATTGTGCAGATCTAAAAATAAGGAGCTGAAAAGTGACAGAACTGAACCCCTCCCAGCAAAGAAAGAGCGTCACTTTCATGACACTTTTAGTCTCTAAGTACCTTCCTGTGAAAGCCATCAGAGTATTAAAAAGCTAAGTGTTGCATAAATGACTACCATTTAAAGGAAAGCTCTTTTTTTTTTTTTCTTTAAAAGTCAAGACATAAGATGGGCAGATTTAGAAACTAAAGTTCCTCTGTTCACAGAACAGGCACTGCAAAGGAGTAAAATTTTAAACGTCCCCATTTGTCCTACAGGTTTCAAACAATCTTGAAAGAGCCATTTGCTTGAGTCTGGTACTACTTTAGCTCAGAGGCTTATTTCTCAGCTGGATTTAAAATGCATGCACTGGAAATTATAAATACTACTAATTCATTTAACACACAGATTCAGCTACCTGGAAGTACTCACAGTCATCAAACACTTAGCTGTAATGCAAAACCATGATCCACATCAGAAAAGTAAGGGACAGTCTATCACAATGTTCATTCTTTCTTCCACCAAAATAAACAGGTGCTTTTCTATTGATATTAATAAAATAGCTGGGATAAATCATTATCCGAATAACTTCTTTTGTATCCATAAAAATGAATCAGTAAATAAAATGTTTCTTAAATGCATGACTACCCTTTAATTTTGCTTGCTAATGCTACCAAAATTACTTTCAGAATTTTTTTGTATCAACACTACTGTAACAGAAAACAGGAAGTCAGAAAGTATGCACAATACAAACCTACAGTATTGCATGAAAGGAGGGATTTTTGTGACAATTTTATGAAATTAAAAAAACTAATTACTTAGCTAGATTTACAAGTGTGTTACCACTAAGACTTGAAATTTTATTCTTAACTGAAAAGTGTGAAATTCTGATAGGGACTTATATCGTATAATTAAAGTTCCGATAACCCCTCAACACTACCGTAAGTATAACATTTAAAAATCATATATGACTTACTTTCATTAAAAATGTACTCAAATCCTTCCAGAGTATCAGGAAATTCGAGTGGTGGCTCATCTTTTTTCATTAGTTCATCCAAATCTATTCTAGACAATAAATCTGAAAAAAAGACAAGAAAAATTACATAATGTATGCTATGCCTTTTTTATTTTGCTGTTATCATGTTCAGATTTGTATATCTTAAGGGCAGAAGGACATCCTACATACTACTAAGCACAGGACTTTGTTCTGGGAAGTATCATTCCAGATTCAAAAGTTGGGCCTCACTCTCAGTGTATCTTCTTACTTATTTATTTACCTACCTATTTATCTCTAATGTTGACCAAAACATACAGGGACAGAGAAGTCACCAAAATCACCTCTGGTATGCATCATGGTTTTAACATGAACTTACCTAGTTTCAGTATCAAGTCATCAATACATTCTTGTTTGACTTCATGAAGAGCTTAAATTATCAAATGAACATCATCTCATAGGCATTTACTAGTTGTGTCATCACAACACTCCTTAACCTTCTCTTTGATACCCAAACAGGCTACGCTATCTGAATCCTTCTTTCAGCCACCCTCCTTTAATAACTCTCAAGGTACAAAAAACCACCATCCATTTTACTGCAAGCCAGGACACACACATCCTTGTCAGACTAGGATGGTATAACCTAGCACAGCCTTCAATCACTAAAATAAGCAGTCTTTACCTTAGATTTAAGGATTCATATTTAACCAGAGGCAAACACATAGGGACATCTTTTGCTTACATCTAACTACTACATAATTACTGTATATGCAGATAATAGTGTACAATAATCCCTTCTCTCATTGTCCACCACCACACAGTGCAATAACACTCTAACACACTGATTATTAAAAAAAAAAAAAAAAAAAAAAAAAAATCAAGAAATGATTCACCAAGATTCCACTAAAATATTTTCCTACTTCCTTAATTTGATTGAATTAATTAAAGACCACAAAAACATTCAGGAGTGCTACACAGACTTTGAACTATTATTGTTTCATAAATCAAGATACCACGTATTAAACCAAGGAAATGTGTTAAGTATTCTAAGTATACTGTACCTTTACCATCCAAAACTGTAGCTCAAAGAAAACAGTTTGAAAAGACTCATTTTCTGTAAACTTTCTTTCTTTGACATTAACTACACTTCCATCCTTTAATTACTTTAAATCATTATTTGAATAAATTTTGTATCACTATTTCTGCTTAGTCTTGTCACCAGGGACAAGGCTACATGTTACCCACATTACCTAAGCTTAGCATTGGTACATTAATCCTCTGGAATTTCTACGGTGTTTAAAATGTACTGAAAATTAGCTTCAACATTTTTCAGAGTTCCTTCCTAGAAGAAAACAACATCCTCAGAGAAAGCTTTCATAATCTGGAGTATTTATTTCTTGGACACTAATCCTGATGAAGATCAAATTACTGGCAAGTATAAAAAGGGAGTTTTACTTTTCCCATCATGAAGAATCAGCTTCTCAAAAAACATTAATTTGACATAATTAGTAGAAGTTTCAAAACAAACACCACACAGGTTTTCATCAAGGGTTACCAAAAATACACTTGTAACTGAACAAACACCATCTACCATCACTGTATAACAGAACATATATTTCTAACAATACTTCAGCAGAAATCAGATTTTTACACTGGAGTTGCAAGGTATATTCTTCTTTTCTCTTTCGAAAGACAATTTAGTGAGTAAATGTATGATGAAAGCAATTTAAATCAAATGTTTGCTTAGCTCACTTGTAGGTCTAACCAACTCCACGTACTTCCAAAACTGAAAAACACTGTACAAAAGCTGTAATACAGTGGTTTTTTTTTCCTCAGGAAACTTACTCCACTAAGTCACTTCAGTCCATCTATTTTTTAAAAGAAATAATACAAAGAAAACTCTATAAAATCAACATGGCAATCAATGCCCTGAAAATGTTTTCCCTGCTAACATTTTTGTCAGAGATTTTTAAAAGCTGTGACAAGGTTTTATAATTATAAAACATAAATGGCATAAAAACTAAATGACAAATCCCAGCAACTAAGAACACAAAAACACCAGCAAACTTTCTCAAAGGCTAATTATGAAAATATAAAATTAATGGATATATTATTGTTACCACAGATCATTATTTTTCATATCTTGTTATGAAAATACTGATAATGGACACACCATTAGACAAAAAGCATTACTATAGACAGACGAATAGTCTCTTTCAGTATTGCAGTTCCCAGACTCTAACCCATAGATATATCAAACTATTTTCCTTTGTTTAGTAACTGTTTCTGAAATGTCAATATACATAGAGAGAAGGCAGAGAGACTCATACCCTTTAATGCAGTAGTCTTCTCTTTTTCATCTGGGCATCCTGGCTGGAGCTGAGCCATCATTACCCAAACTGTCAACAGATTTAAAACACTGAGGTAGAAGTACATTAATCTTCAGTGGACAATCTGAAAATCAACAAGAATTGGAAATTAAGAGATTAACTGACTTCCACTTCAACAGATCTCATTTGCTACTGCTTATGTCACAAAAAACCCAGAACTTGTTCCTAAAGCAAAACTTTCATAAATATTATAAATCCCTAGGATATGCAAGGTAAAATGAAAATTTTCCACTCCTTCAAAATTTATACTGGATACTGAAGTCTCATCACACTATCCTGTATTAAGACACTTTACAGGAAGTGTGACACACACTCCAGAATCAAGTTTGGTCAAAGACTCAAGTTCACAAGAAATAACACTAACTTCACCCTAATCCTAAAAGGACATCTAGCAAATTGATCCTTCTTTTTTGTGATTCTAATGTAATATCAGTAAATGGTAAACCTTTTAAAGAAGCACCACACTTTGTAAGTCCAAAGCAGAAGATGTAAGAAAATGCAAAACATAAACAATAGGACTTCCACAACCTTTAAGGATTTTCTTCATCAATTAACTCCACTTTATTACTCTTATTGTACTATTTAGTTTTGGTTTTAGTAAAACTAGACAGAGCACATTTTGAACCACTGTGTTATTGGCACTGAAATGTATAAAGTAAACATCCAAATACAGAATAAACCTATATATATTCAAGGTGAGAATTTACATGCAAAATATATTTATAAATTTCTCCTACTGCACAGAAGTCAACCCAGACATTCAAATCTGTAATCCCTTTCATCTTGAATCTGACACCAGAGGAGCGAACAACCACATCACAATCACTGCTTCCTCCTTCTCTGTAAAAAGACTTCCATGCATTGAATTCTTTTTCCCTTCATCTTTCTTTGGTTCTTCATTTTATCTGTCAGTCATTACCAATCTGTTTTATTATGTTCCCCAATATACTTTACCATAGATGTCTTTCCATGAACTGTATCAGCAGGAAAAAAAAAAACCACCAACCCACAAATAAGTGTAATAAAGACTATTTTTCTATTGTCTTTAGAGAACACCTACTACATGAAACATTTTCTTGTAGATTAAGGAAAAATTCAGCAATTTAAGGTTGTTTGTTTTTTTTAAGTTGGGGTTGAAGAAAGTCCAATGATCCATTCTACAAGTTGGACCTACAGGAGACTTTGACACATTCCTTTGCAGAAGCCTGTTCCAATTACGCTGATGTGAAATGATAGTACCCTGCCAGAAGTCTTTTAAAGACACAATTCTACCAAGAAAGCTCTGCTTCGATTGTGTACCATTGTGTCACAGCTCAACATGATTCAGTCAAAATGTGTATCTTTTGGCTAACACCTTCATCAACTCAGTACTCATAACAAAGGTAATCAACAAAAATAACAGCAATGTAAGCATTACAATGACTCAAATGACTATTCACACACATGGATGGTATTAAAGACTTTTCTCACATGCCTCCAAACAGCCCACTGACAAAACATCACTGAATACAAAATTTTGTCCATCACCAGTTTGCACATTTGCAGCACAAAACTATGTACATTCTACTAAATCACTCAGAAAAGAAACAAACTAATTCCAGTTAAAATTATTAGGTGTGCTACAAAATGACAGTGATAGTGTTTTGCAATAGCCCAGATTAAAATTATTGTAGTCATACAAATTAGGTAGTACTCCCTACACAATATTTGAAAATTCATAATTGGGTGTAGATACACTAATACAGTTACAAAACACATACAGATGCTCAATAACTTCTTATTACCCAAGGGAAGAAACATAAAATTTATCTGAACAGATGTATCTTGGTAAACAAACCCCCATCCCCTAATCAGATAAATCAATGAAGAAATGAAGAATCCCTGGCATTCTTGTCTCTACAATGGATACCCTTCTTCCTTAAACAGACGAAGACCCCGCCACTGTAGGTGGTAGGTAACAGGTTCACTTGCCAAGCTAGAAGCACCAAAAAAACAAATAAATAAATAAATCAGAATTCAGCTTTTGGAGAGAGAATTTCCAGTTCTTTTTGACAAACTAAAAAAATGTTACAGCAGCCACTGGAGGGAGGACTTGATATTAGAATGAGAATGAAACAAGCACCAGTATTTTATACATTGTTTGTATGAACACAGCATTGCGGAATCCCTCACTGGTATATGTTTAAATAACAAACTGAAAAAATTACATGAGAGGTTGGATTTCCTTTCTTTGGCAGACAGGTTCCAAATCAAGTATAGTCTGATGGTGCAGAAATGAATAGTAGGAAAATTATAAAGCTCTCCCATATGCAGGAATATGCAGTTTATTCTAGGCATCAGTTTCAAGTCCCAGTGATCTTTAACTTCATACATTGAGTACTCCACGTAATCCCCAGATACTATCATCAAGTCTTTCACAGTAAGTGGAGATTATTTTAAATGTCTTATTCTGTACAATTACTTGGATACTTCTTTTAAAAACATCTTTTCTGTGATTTTTTTTTTTTTTAGCATTAGCTACAGCAAGCATTCGTCCTAACAAACAAGTTACTATTTCACCTGAAGAAATACAGTAATTAAGTTTATTGCCATGAGAATGTATATTTATTTGCATGTATCTTGCTTTCCCTGGGGAGGGACTCTACATTAGGGACTGTAGTGACAGGACAAGGGGTAATGGGTTAAAACTTAAACAGGGGAAGTTTAGACTGGATATAAGGAGGAAATTCTTTCCTGTTAGGGCGGTGAGGCACTGGAATAGGTTGCCCAGGGAGGCTGTGAATGCTCCATCCCTGGAATTGTTCAAGGCCAGACTGGAAGAAGCCTTGGGCGAGATGGTTTAGTGTGAGATGTCCCTGCCCACGGCAGGGGGGTTGGAACTAGATGCTTTTAAGGTCCTTTCCAACCCTAACTATTCTATGATTCTATGATTCTATCCAAAAATATCTTATGCATATTTCTGGGCCTCTTCTACTCTCTGCCCAGCAATACTTAAAATAATTTGGCAGCAGAAATATTCTCGTTTCATGGTTTCACATGAGACAATAAAGGGCTGCATTTTCATCGTACCTCTAAATATGCAACTATAGAGCTGATGGATTCACGACTGCATGTATTCTGACTCTCAAACAAATGCACACATACACAGATTTCAGTGAAGACTTCAATTAGTCTTCACTGTGTAAATTCAGCTTGAAATGTGGCGAAAGTTGTAGTATATAATTTGGCTCTACATTAGCAATACCTGAAACTAAGTCAATGCTACAAATGTTCCAAATAAGGCTACAAATAACTGATGTGCTAACCCACCACAAGTGCAATGTAGGGAGAAAACAAAAGTATTTTCAAACAGCGGAAGTCCCTCAAGACTTATCTGGATATAATCTCAACAGGAGTTACCAGAGTCTCTTTATTACACTGCTTCATTACAATACAGTTGAATTAGAGCTGTGTTCTTTGTAAACTGAAATGCCAAGCAAGCTATGGACAAGTGTGGGTCAGATGTGTATGATTAGACTGATGACTGAGTAAGACTCAGGGTTTTTCTGAGAGATGGCTGGGTGACACTTTGGCTCTAGTCCCTTCTCCGTACTGGTTCAACAAAGCAAAAAAATACCTCTTTTAATCTTAGTAGGATTCTCTGTCTGTAACTGGATTTTACCTATTTCAGCTTTTACTGCTCTACAGATGACATCAGTAACAACTGCACCAGTTAAGGTCATATGTCTATTCCCTCCACTCACAAGACCCTCTTTTCAGGTGCTTATAGGTTTGCCAAACTTTGGCTTTGAAAGCCAATTACTTCCAGTACGCTTTAGACTAAACTTTAGACTAGGTTTTGAAAAAGTTCAGCTAAAATATCTCTTGCATATGAAAAAGGCTCAGAGACAGTATCTTCTCCTCCGTTCTGCTGATGTTAATGAGCAGCTACAGCATCTCCTTGTTGCAAAGATCAGAATTTTAACCAGAGGATCAGCTTTCCAGTGTGTGCCTCTTGCCACTACTCTTAAAGCCTGCACAGATCTGCCCAAGTTAAAAATGTTTTGTTTTGCACACACTTACTATAGACTTATTAAGACTTACCAGAATTTCCAGAAAATGCATGTATTTGCCTAAAGCATGCTCCATACAGGTGCAAAAAGCCAGAGGGAAGATGAACAGGAGGGGAGTAATAGATGCTAGAAGAACAACATCTTTAAACACCAGAATACAAAGATCTCAAAGTCTCTCAATCTCAGTACATCGCCACATTTTATCAAATGGTGGTGGAACCTGCTGATAAAAGTACATACACGACAGTAAAGGCTGATTTGCACAGCAGCCACCTTTCAGTGCTATTCACCCAGTAAGCTCAAAAAGCAGAGAACTATGAGCTATATACATTAGCGTCCCAAACATGTCAGCAACTCAGCTGTTTATACAAGGCAGTGTCAACACAATTCCACACACTATTTTAATTATTTCAGCTTGATTTTCTTGACATGCTGGAACTGAATTTCATAAACTTATGCATGTAAACATGATCCAATAAACACGTCAAAATAATAGAAAGAGGGAGTATGACCTCAACACAGCCTCTGGGAGGTGAACAGGATGGTCTTACCAACTACACACGAGGTTCAAAATGATCATTCAGAATTCTTCTGCAGTAGCAACAGCTTTGAATACATGCACTGGTTTTGTCTGGGACACAGTAGTTTGCTTCACAGTAGCTGATACAAGACTATGCTTTGGATTTGTGATGAAAACAGTGTCATAGAATCATAGAATAATTAGGGTTTGAAAGGACCTGAGTCCCAAATCATCTCGTTCCAACCCCCCTGCCATGCATGGGCAGGGATACCTCACACTAAACCGTATCACCCAAGGCCTCATCCAACCTGGTCTTGAACACTGCCAGGGATGGAGCATTCACAACCTCCCTAGGCAACCTATTCCAGTGCCTCACTACCCTAACAGGAAAGAACTTCTTCCTTATATCCAAGCTAAATTTCCCCTGTTTAAGTTTCAATCCGTTACCCCTTGTCCTATCACTACAGTCCCTAAGGAAGAGTCCCTCCCCAG